ATATATATATATATATATATATATATATATATATATATATATATATATATATATAGAGAGAGAGAGAGAGAGAGAGTGTGTGGCGGAGCCAGAATTTTTTATATGGGGGTATAAACATTATCAATATATATTCTATGTAGTTATCATATCTCGGATATTAAAAAACATTGTACAATATCTTAAGTTGCGGGTACAATAACATAGAACATGTTTACTAATAATTTTTTTTTATATACATAAAACAATTTTTTGGGGATACTATAGTACCCCCAACGTTTCATCTAGCCCCGCCAATAGAGAGAAATACATTCAAATGTAGATTGACATCTATTGTAAATATCAGATCATTAATTATAATAAATAAGATATATTATAAAAATTATAAATCAGTTATAATTTTGTTAGTGCGATCTATTTTGAAAATGTACTGTGATATACTGATGTAAATTTGTAATAACAATATGATATTGATAAAATTGAAAGATAAATACTTTTATAGTGATGTAGAGGGTCTTAGAAATAGGGGTGGAATTGGTATGGTACCAATTCATTTTTCACTAAACCATGTATCATACCAATTATAATTGGTATCAAAAAAATTGCTACCGGTACCATACCAAGTATATCTGAGACCAATTTATTTGGCTACCAACAAGTTTGGTTAGTACAAATTGGTAATGGTATATACCAACTTCTTTTAATTTTCTATTGTAAGATTTAAAAATAAGCAAAGACATCGGCATTTTGATGTGTAGTATAGAAATTAGTTACATAGTTTTTTTGAATTTACAAAAGAATTCTACTGAAGTAATGCTAAAGTAACGTTTTAATATTGTGTTTTAACATGGTAATAACTATTGACTAATACGACCAAATGACTAATATAATGTTATTAAAACTGTAAACATCAAATACAATTAACAATTGAAATATATATATATATATATATATATATATATATATATATATATATATATATATATATAAGCTTAGGTTATTTTGTTAACACTATTTATTGTGTTATTGTATTAATCATTGTGGGCCAATGAAATATGTAATATTTAAATGAAAATGATTTTCATAAAATAGATTTCAAATAAATGAAAAAGTCTTCACATTTAATGAAAAAGGATAGGGAAGGGTATATGCGTATATTTGCCCTCTCCATTAAAATAGGAAATTGCTCCATTTTTATAACTTCCCACGCATAATCCCTACAACTACGCATAAGTCTGGATTCCACTACCCTTTGTTTTGGAACACGAAATCAATGAAAATCTTCTATAATCAACCAAAAATAGCAATAGATTGTGTTTTTTTCTAAGTATAAAGTGTTATAGTATTGAAGATCGTTCAAAGAACGTGCACTGTGATCGTTTGAAAAAAAAAATTGCAGTAGAATGAGGAATACAAGGACGAGTTCTTTCAAATCGAATTTAAAAACACACAAGCAACGGTTTTGAATCTAGATGAAGACGATGATGATTTTGTTACTCTGCCTAGAGGTATTTTTTTAAAGTTTTTTTAAGGTAATCGTTTGAGTACAGAACATTCTTTTGGAATTTTTGAAAAATGAAGTAGATGCATGTGGTTGTTAAGTTCGTTTAAGTAACAAATAACAAAATTCTGTAAAAATAGAGTATTTTTTCATTAGGGTTTTTTGAAATTGGAGATTTTCTACACGAAATTAAAATTTTTACTGTACAGATATTGGTAATGTGATTCTTGAAGAAATTGTGTTTGTTATTGTGTATTTTGTTGTGTTTTGTAACAGCGAGAATCGATGTTGTTTCTGTCATGTATTTCGTTTAGAGATATGTTGTTGTGGTTGTGATGTAAGTCAGACTACATGATATTCTGTAAGAAGTAAAAGGCTAGTTATTGAAATGCATTCTTCCAGAATACTAACTATGTAAAACGGAGTGAACGTAGTTGCTGTTGTGGTAATTTAGGGTGTTAATGTTTTCTTTGTTATCAAAATTAAAAAAAAAAATGCATACATTTTTCAAGTTCTTTTTGTTATGATAAAATCTAGTACTATAATGTTGTATTGTTTTAATTAATTTGATATTTTTGTTTTTATAATTTGTAGTTTTATTCCTATTATTTTGATGCTGCAGTTTAGTTGTATGTATGGTGTGTATGTAATTCTAACATAATTAGTTTAATTAAATGTGTTAAATTCGTAAAGAATGTGTAACATGTGAAGGGGATGTAGTGGTTAAATAAGTCTAAGTCTCATACAATCTTTAAAACTTAATGTTAATATTGGGACTAATATTGGGTCTTTGTATATGTGTTTGTTTCTCTATGTTTGTTATTGTGATCTGTGAGGATTTAGTGTTATTGTAGTAAAGATGTGGTTTTAATTTTAACATAAAAATTATACTTATATTGTTTGCGTTCTTACAGAATGAACAAAAGCAAAATTGTAAAAGAAACACTGTAACAGAATTGTGTTTGTGTACATTATACGTATTAGCATTCTGATAGAATTTACTCCTACTAATTATAATTCTAGTAGAATCATTGTATAGTAGTCATTGTAACAAATTTGTGTGTGTCTATGTTCATTCTATTTGCATTCTAATAGAATGTTGTCCTAAAAATTAAGATTCTAAAAGAATCATTGTTAGGGTATGTGTGTACATGCTTACTTAATTGTAACAAAAGTAAGTGTATATTAGGGTCATACAGATTGGAATGTGACTGTTTAATATGGAGATTGCTATTAACTAAATGTGTATGTTTTTATTACTGAGAAGTCTGATGAATTAATTTTTTTTAATATTTGGTTTTAATTCTTGTAGAAACATGTTTTGTGTTTGTGTTTCATCCTTACATAATGAAAAGTTGTATAATACTTTTATTTTTTATAAGTAATGAACTATGGGTGGTTACTTTGAAAACTATTATTAACCAATGTTAATCATTCATTTCATTAGTTGTTGCAGAAGCTGATCGAGTCCCAATTAATGTTAATACTTCAAGCCAAACAAAGGTTAGAAGGAACTACCGTACCAGATCAACACCCGTTAAAGAGAATATCAGTATTCAACGTACAGGTAGATTAAAAAATTGTTAATTAATGAAGCAGAAGGTGGCGGAAGTGGACAAAATGATATGAATATTGTTGGATCAAGCAAAACAAAGAAACAGAGGAAAAAACTTCAAAATCAGAACATGGAAAGAACAATGTTGAATGTGGTAAGACAGGTTAGATAATAAGTGCATGTAATTAATGAGTTTAACTATATGTTTCTGATATGGCTAATATAGAGTTTATTATTCTATTGAAGTTGTATTATACGATTAGTAATTGTTTTTTTTTGTGATAAAGCAGATTTTAACAAAGATAAGAAAGACACAATACAAATTGACCGCACAAGTGTTAGAAGTCTGAAAAAGGAAGGGTTCTGATAGAAATACACCTGTTAAGGACAAGAAGAAATCGTCGGATGCAAGTGGTGAAAGGAAAAAACCAAGAGGTTTAAATGAGATTTTTATGGAGAGAATTAGTGGGTCAAAGAAAAACAATGAAAAGGCTAATATTGGTGTGGATATGGAAGATAAGGAAGATGTTGTAGAAAGGAAAAGGGTGGTGCAAGATGCACATTCAAAGAAAAATCCAAAAAGAAAGAAAGGAAAAATAGAACATGAAAATGATAAAATCAAAACAATGGAGGGGGAGGTCAGAAAAATAAGCAAGGACCATCCAGAAGGTTATAGAAGACTTGCAACTAGGATGACTCCTGGAAGGATAAGTTCAGCTGTGAAAGTAATGTCACCCGCACAGAAAAATGGGATTGTGTCAATGGGATTTGGTTCACTTCTTCATATTGACATCGACACTACTCCGGGTTTACTTAAGTACTATCTGTTAGATCACTATGATCCAGATAGTAGCCGTCTAGTTCTGGAAAATATGGTCATAACAATTACGAAAGACACAGTGTATGAGATGTTGGGTTTACTAAATGTGGGGGAAGACTTTCTGAGGTTGAGTAGTTGTGATAAGGATAATGAAGTTCTGCAAGAATGGAAAGGCTAATACGACAAAAAAGGGTTCAATTTCATGACAGTCTTATGTTTAGGTTGAATTTCCTGACCCTTTTCATTAACACATTTGCTGAATAAACTTTGAGTGGTACAAATCAAATTAATGTTGTAAATAAGTTGGTCTTGGTAAAGGACTTCTCTAAAATTGATTGGTGCAAGTATATCCTAGATTGTTTAGTAAGCAAAAAACAACTGTGGAGAAGAGATGATAAGACATGCTATTACAGTGGACCTATACTAGTTTTGATGGTAATCAATTTATGTATATTAAATATTTACTTTATTTTATGATAGTAATATGTATAATGAATTACTTAATGAAGTTTAATCTTTTTTTATGTAGTTGGTGTATGTATATAGAATCAAGTTCACGGGTTTGAAGATAGTGAAACGATTACCGTTTGTTAGAAATGTTACTCGTTCTTTACTTGAAAAAATAGAGAAGATGGAGATAGTGTTGGGGGGTTTGGTAGGCAGTTACCGGAAAACTTTGAGGATATTAGTGATGATGATGGAATGGTTGATGCAGATGATATGTTGGACGGGATGATGAGGGATTATGGTGACGAGGAAGTAAGCTATATATTCAGTAAGAATTCAGAACAATATTTCTTTCAGAATTGTAAAAAATGATAGTTTAATATAAAACATAAATGCAGATGTGGCTGATTTAAATTGAATGATTTGATTTATAGTTATTGATCTATTTGGAACATTAATTTTTTTAGAATATTAATCATGATATGTTAATATAAAACTTACAAGCATACGTGGCTGTTATCAAGCATAGCTATGGAGTAATATTGTCTGAAAAGAAGAATATTGAAAAAGCTCTAAAACATGGAATTGAGAAATTCCCAAACAGCTTGAGCTTGAAGGAGTAGTGTGAAAAAAAAAATGAAAAATTGTTCAAAGAAGTTAATAATGCAGAGAGTGGCGAAATGAAAGACAAGGATCCTAGTTTTGATGGTCATAGTAACAAAGGAGATGCAGATGGTGGTCAAGAAGCAGAATTCTCGCCAATTAGAGGATTAGTAGTTGAAGGGGAAAAGAAGGATGATGGTGGAGGTTTCAGTACACCTCAAATGGATAAGGTAGGTAATACAGATAATCAAATCTGCTCACAATTCTTGGAGAATCCTGAAGTGTTGGCAACAGCAATTAAAATGACGGATGACGCTGTGTTGGAAAGTTATAAAAAAGAGAAAAAAAAAGGAAAGAAAATCATGGAAACAGTTGAGGTATGTGAGGAAGATGATGACCATGGAAAAAGGGGAAAGAGAGATCAAAAGATACCTGTATATGGAAAATCAACTTTTGTTGAAAGGGTTGTTAGAATGAGTGACAAGGTGAAGAAGGATGAAATGTCGTTATACAACTCAGTTTTTACATCAAAAAGAGATTATGGGTAAGTTAAATAATAAAATTTAGTGTTTTTCTTTTAAAATGTGGTGTTATAACAGTGATCATTTTATAATTGTCGAGCAGGGAAGAGATATGGAACATTGCTAGCGGGCATATGTTGCATCAAGGATTCGCATATCATTTTAAAAGCAACATGTTTATTCATGCGATAATCATTGACTATTGGTCATCATTACTCAACGGAATGGAGAAACTCAGGGATGTAGGATCAATTTCTAGAGTATTCTTTGACACAAATTTTTTGGTAAGTATTTAAATTAAAATTAGTTCCAGTCGAATAATATGTGTTTTATTGATTGGTTTATTAATCTGTGCAGGCAGAAGAGATACTGGATGGATCATTGTCATCTGGAAGAAGTCAAAAATTATTTGATTCGATGTTGAAACTCCACCTTAAAAGTCTACCAAAACAGGAAAAGCTGAAGGATATTGGACTAGTGAATTAATTAAACCTTGTTTTTTATCAATTACAACCATAACATAAAATATTATCTTATTGGACCACTATGTGTTATGTAACAAGTTTTCTTCCCAATAGTTGATAAAAGCAAATATTATCCGATATGCTTTGATCTAAGGGTTCCAACATACTACATTATAGACCATGTGACCCGAAATGGTTATGTTGAGGAAATCTATGGAATAAAGCACATTCATGTGGTATGTTGAAGCTTTATTATTTGAAAGATTTAAAATACACGAGTTTAATATTGAATTGTAAAATGATTTTTTCTATCGTAGAAAAAGTTGCTTGGGAACTATTTGAAAACAAAGAATTACCAAAAGTCAACAGCTTTCAACAAGATTAAAGCTCGTGTAATGAAAATGACATGGAAAGTAGAGAAAGAAGGATCAGACTATGGAGTATATCTTATGAGGCATATGGAGTCATATATGGGGGGAAATTAAGGGCGTTGGGATTGCGGTTTTACAGGAAAAAAACAGATTGATTTACTTGCATTAAATAATCTACGAATCAAATACATGGCAAAGCTTATGAAATCAGAGTACAACAAACATAAAATTATGTTGGAGAAAGATGTAGAAGCATTTGAGAGGCTTGATCCATTGCAGATATTGGTTATGATGAATGAAGTGAAGGAAACCAAGGAGAAGCTGAAACGTGGAAGGCGTCGATTTTAAGATGGGAGTGTTATGATGTTAGGATGGTTGGTTTTGAAAGACGTTTGGTAGTATTTTTGGTTTAAGTCTATGTTTTTTATTTTGGTCTAGTATTGTGTGTTTTGGGGTAACATTTTATCATTGTAGGATTGTTATATGGTGTAAGACTTTTGGTAACATTGTTTGTTTTGGTCTAACTTATTTGCTTGGGGAACAATGTTGACGTGTTTTATTATGTTCTAGAATTGTTTGTTTTTTAGAAACAGGTTAATGTGAATGGTGTTTGTGGTAGTAGGATTTATTTTTTGGTAATTGTTACTACTTGATTGATGTTGGAATGTGTATATGGATATGAAAGCTATCAAAATATGCAATGTGTTGGAAGATGGTTTGTAATTTACAGGTAAGTTTAGTTTATAAATCATACATTACGATATGCATTTGTTGTGGTAGTTTGATACAAGTTAGTGTAGACAGTTTTGGTGTATGTAAAATGTTTTAAGTATAATTACATGATATTCTGATGGAATGTATATGTTTGAGTATAAGTGGTAGAATGTATGAAGATTATGATTTACCATGATTGTTTCGATGATATATGTCACATAGGATACAAAAAAGTCATGTGTAAGAATTGTTAGATTTGACTGTACATAATGTTAATAGCTTATGTTACAAATGGTAAAGTGTAACAAAAATGAGTTGTTGAAAGATGGTTTGTAATGCACATGTATATTTTGTTTTTCAAGAATAATAGGTGTACATTTGCCCTGTCCATTAAAAAAGAAACTGCTAAATGGTATGCTTACAAGATATTCTGACAGAATATATGTGCTGTTTTGCAAGTGGTAGAATGTATGAACATTATGATTTTCCTTGTTTGTTTCAATTTTGAATTTCAGATAAGATGCACATTAATCGTGGTAGAATGTATGAAGGTTATATTGTTACATGTTAGGATACTCATTAATGGTAGATAAGAATTGTTACAAAATATGCAAAAGTGTATAACAATGTATGACAATTTTATCAAATACGATGAAATTTGTACGCAGTAAAATAAATAAAGATGAAACAAAAAAGTATTAATGTAATATAATATTAAAAGAAAAACTACATATAAAGCATACTACTTAGACACGTTTTTTAAGAGGACAGTTTCATTTATCATGGTTAGTCATCTGTTTACATAAAACACACTTTCGCTCAGGCATCGAACCAACTTTATTACGAATATCTGATGGGTTGTCAATATCGGGAGCATCATTAGTTAATTCTACGCCTATAATATGGTTGTAGAATGTTTCTCTTGATGGCATCTCAGGGGCTGGACAATCATCTACAAAAATTTTTTCAGCTTATTCAACTCTTCAAGGTATGACTTTGACTTCGATGCATCATGGCTTAAAAATGAAACACAACGCTCTACGTTTGAAAAAATTTCAATAGTCGTCATGTCAGAGTTAGAGTCTAGTAAAGAATTAGAAAAACGCCTTTTAAGCAATTCTGTTGGAACAACATCCCGACGCCACCGTTTCATAATGTATTCTTCAGGAATCTGTTCAATACTATAGAACTTAAAAACACAAAATATGTCCCTACACAAAATACCGACATGTTCAAAATGCATGCAGGTACATTTGTATGAACCATCTGTTGTTGAGTGTGTAACCTGGAATATGTATGAAAAAATATGAGTTTCGGTAATAAAGTATTGTTGTGTGATTAAAAAAAAATTACGCATTGTTAAAGTAATAATGTACGATGTATTGGGTATCCTCTGTAAGACGATCATAATGGTATTCCTCAAGTTTGTCATCAACAACAGGACTTGATGGTTGCCTTATTGTTATGTTCTTTTGCTTCTCCAAAACAATAATAGTGTCAACACAATTATTAGAAGTAACACTCATTTGGAAACAAGTGTTATCAGAATCTGATATCTCTTTCTGCACCTGATAAAAAAATTTACGAGTGTAAACCTTTGAAGCATGTGCTTCAGTTGGACTAGATGTGATGAATCTAGGAAGTGTTGTAGCGGTGTTAAAGTCGTTGACAACTTGATTACGTCTTTGCCGTTCCCTAACACCGTCAAATGTCATCATAAACATTAAAAGATAAGAACTAGTAAGGGCATTGTTCTGAAACGACCAATTTTGGCCTTCCGATAATGATGTAGTTCTCATAAGACCAGACATCGGTATGTCCCTGAAAAATACAGGTACCCAACGTCTACGCAACCCATACATCTCTTGCAACCACTTGTTATTTGAAATGTTAAACTCATTTAAACAAGATTTCCATTCCTTTTCAAAATCATGTGGTTCCAGCTTAGAATTCCAAATTATAGAGTGGAAACGCTTTCAAAAGGCTGAGTTTGTGGCTAGTTGCGATGTTATTTGAAATATATATATATATATATATATATATATATATATATATGTTAATATAAAATAAATAATTGTGTTGCACAAGGAATGCAGGGTGTGAATAGGGTGTGAATGGTGTAAACTATGAATTCCAACAGAATGTTCTTTAAAATTCTTAAAGAATGTATCTAAAAATCTAGCAAAAGCCGGTAATGAATTGTAGTTGGGAATAGATTTTGTTCTGAAATATTTTATTTCTAATTGAATAATATGTGCTAACAAGGTAAACATAGTGAGTTTGGGTTGAATATAAAAAAATGTTGACCTTGTTTGGAAGTTTTTTTTAATATGCCACATACAAAACCTATGTGTTGACATAGAAACCTATGTCAGCACATAGGTTTTGTATGTCGCATATTACAAAAAAACTTCCAAACAAGGTCAATATTTTTTTTATATTCAACTCAAACTCACTATGTTTACCTTGTTAGCACATATTATTCAATTATAAATAAAATATTTCAGAACAAAATCTATGCCACAACTACAATTCATTACCGACTTTTGCTAGATTTTAATATACATTCTTTAAGAATTTTAAAGAGCATTCTGTTCTGAAATATTTTATTTCTAATTGAATAATATGTGCTAACAAGGTAAACAGAGTGAGTTTGGGTTGAATATAAAAAAAATATTGACCTTGTTTGGAAGTTTTTTTGTAATATGCCACATACAAAACCTATGTGCTGACATTGGAAATACTTCATTAACAGACTTGTTTAAAGTTGGATCTTGATCTATAAGAACAAGTGTAGGTTGTTTTTTGAATGAATTCAAAAATGCTCTAAGCAGCCAGGAGTAAGAACTAGCATCTTCTCTACTCAAAAGTTCAGCGCCAAAAGTCACACATTTCTTATGATTATTTATCCCAGTGAAAGGTACGAAAACCATATCATATCTATTTAAAAATATAAAACTTGGTAAGCGTTATTGGAATCAAGAAAAATTATGTGAAAAGATTGCAAAATTTAATAATACTTATTCATGCTGAATGTCGCATCCAGAGAAACAACGTCTCTAAAAGCATTGTAGTTGTACTTTGCAGTTTCGTCAGCCCAAAAAATCGAATTCATTTTTTTCTCAACAACTCTAAAATCGAAAGAAAAACTTGGGATATTTTTTTCCTCTCCAGCATCTTCAATACAAGCAATTTTACATCCCTGGCACCTATGTAAGAATTGAGATTTCTCGTACTGTTCTTGAAATCAGAAACCAACCCACCTCGAATGTCAGAACCACCTTGAAGTCCAGAATACAATCTATGTGCTCTTGAGGCACCAATATTTTGCTTTGACAAGTTATGAATAAACATCTCCTGTGAATAATCAAGTTTCCTCTTTGTACGAGATAAAAACATATTTTCCTTACCAAACAACATATGATTATGTTGTTCAACAAATTCAACAACATTATATTTATTAGTACCATGTAGTAGAATAACAACATTTTTCGCTTTGCATTCACACCTAAATGAGTCTTTCCTTCTCTGAATCTTATTATGTTGAGGGTCCAAAGTATCCACTTTAGCGGTTGTTGGTTTACCTTCCTGATTGCATAGCAAATGTCGTTGTGTGGTAATGCCAGATTCGGTTGTTCTAAATGGTCCAACCCTGACATCAAAACCTGCTAATGATGCATAATTGCAATAAATTGATAATGCTATTGTATATGAATCAAAAATTTAATTGATTTTAGGTTTGATGTTGTCTAAAACAACAGGAATCCAATACGATGATTCACCAGGAGAGACATAATCATGTGTAACATGAGATTGTTCTGCATAAAAGAAAATTTAAAAAAGTTTCAAAGAATTAATCTAGTTTATTAAAAAAATTATCATATACTAACCTTTCTGAAATTCAATGGTATCATCGTCTATAGTATAATTTGCCTCATTATCATTGAACTCGAATTCATTTTCTACATCTTTTAATAATAGTATGTGTAATGGATACGTAAATATATTTAAAAACGAAAAAATACTTAAAATACATCACTTGGGTTATGATTACTAGATTCACCGAAATGATATTCGGAATTGTCATACATGTGATCTTGAATGTGTTCTAATAGATCCTCATCTTTGCAAGTGCAAGTTACGGCAAAACACAAAAAACAATAGACATTTTCAACATTATTATTATACAAAATAACACATATTAAAAACTTATAAAGTAAATTCACCTAAATTTAGATGGCCACTCTCAGATATTTGAAATTCGACATTATGTAGAGAGTCATGATCCCATAACCCGAAATTTTCATACTCCTTAGGAAATTCATGTATATCATGAATATGATCGGCACCAGCTCATACTGTATTATCCATAAGATAGGTAACAACACGACTGAACACCAGTTGATATGAGAAAGCAAAATAAATGCAATATTACAAAGTTTGAGCCAATTCGGTATATATTAAAAAAGGAGAAACCGTGTAATTGATATGTAACTAAAAATACGTGATATTTGTATTCATTGTTATCAAATATTTGGTTTTTTTTTATTTTTAGAAAGATTGTAAGGATAATAATCAACACAAAATCGTTTTATTCATCATGATATTGTAAATATTTGACATATTCAACTTCCAAGTATAATAAATTGTGTATATATGACTTCAACACATCCTACGTTTTAAATTAAATTTTAAAAAAATTAATTTTGCATAATTTAAAAAAAAATTAATTGAATTTACAAATTATTTCTGGTTTGTTATGACATAAACGCGTATATGAAATAATCAATTAATATCACAAGCGTGTTATTCTGTGAGAAAAACACAAACAAGATCTACAATAAAAATATTTTTCACACATTTGTTTTGTATATTCTCGTACAACTTAACATAGACATACATATACCACGATATCATGATACAACAATCTTATTCTGTAAAACTATATGTGATAATAATAACAACAAATTTATTTTGCTCCTGTTTGATTTGTATATTGTAATACAAATTAGCATTCTTGTAGAATTTCATCCAAAGAATTCTAACATAATCGTTGACTAATCAAAATGTAACAGGAAATTAGAAACACTTGTTTTGTACGAATAATAAGCACTGTGTTTTTTTTTAATGTATATTGTAATCAACAGTTACATTATACTACTTTGGATAAAAAGAATTGTATTTTTGTTTGTTCTGTACGGATAATAAAAATTATGTTTTGTATTGCACATTCTTACAGAATTGTGGATAAAAAAAAATTGTGTTTTTGTTTATTCTGTACGAATAATAAAAATTATGTTTTGTACGAATTGTGTTTTTGTTTGTTCTCTACAGAATGTGTACATATGACATTAAGTACATCACAATTTACGAAGAACTGTTATATCCAGAAACATTAGAACAAAAATACATTACAACAACAACTTTGTATTCATATGATAAATAAGAAAATGTATGGAATTTTAATCAAACTCAAAATGAGAATTATTAATATTAATTAAATGAAAACATAAACTTACAAGGATAACCCCCTATAATTCATGAATCCATATCATTATTATACTGAAATAAAACTCCATAAAATCTGATAAGACTAAATTGAAAACATTATTCATATCCTAAAATATGTTGACGAAGTAAAAATCTACTATCTGTTGACCCTTGCTTGAAGACAATTCCTCCTATCATGACCAACACCAAACAAATCACACATCTTCTTATTTTCTTTCGATCTTGATGCATTTGGCATTGATTAACATTCCGATCATTGTTATCAGAAAAGTCCTTATTGTTATCAATATAATCTTTGTTCTGAAAAACAAAACAAAAAAATTGAAAACATGAATTTCATCACTAGAATATCGTAAAGAACAAATATGAGATTAATCATATAAATGATTATTCTTAACTATGAATATACAAAATTTTATATGCACATGATAAACGATACTTCAAAAATATAACAAAAAAAATCCATGAACAACATACCTCCATTAACAAACTATCAAAATAAAGAAAACTGCTCTGAATATAATGAACTATAAATCCGCAATGGATTGAAACGTATACGATATATATATATATAATATATATATATATATATATATATATATATATATATAGGGGATAGGGAATATACATTACAGCACCACCTAAGCTTAGGTACTAAACTTCTAAAATATGTCGTTTTAACATGTTAAATATATCCTGGTTTCACTTGGTAAATATATCATCCTCCATTACATTTCTTTCTTTCATTCTTGTTTTACCATCTTTGTTTTCTTTCCTCAATTATCGTTTATTACTTACCCAAGTGAACATTATTAAACCCTAAACCCTAAATCTAAACCCTAAACCCTCAACCCTAAACCCTAAACCCTTAACCCTAACCCTAAACCCTAAACCCTAAACCAAAATCCTAAACCCTAAACCCTAAAACCTGTTTTTTCGATCTTGAATTTACATCTTTAAGTATTAACCGTGAATCTATTAACCGTAATCTTTAGATAGTAAAACAATGTATTTTCAAGAGGTTTAGTACCTAAGCTTAGGTAGGGCTGTAATGTATATTCCCTTTTCCCATATATATATATATATATATATATATATATATATATATATATATATATATATATATATATATATATATATCAAATGAATTGGTTGGTACAATATTACCATAATATTTCAATTTTTGTACCATTATCGTACCAACATTGATAAATTGGTACGGTACTACCAACCAAACATGTTGGTTACCAAATATATTGGTTATCAAGTTTCTTGGTTCGGTTGGTAACATGTTTGTTTTCCATGGTATAATTTTGCCAACCCTACTTAGAATAATAAATAAATAAACTAATAAACATTCACAAATACCCATAAATGTTATATTGGTGAACTTCTAAAATCGATGAACTTTCGCTCGTGGGTGACTTGTAGGTATTAATTGGTCCCTCTAACCTTTTTTCTTTTTTTATGTAGCGTTAAGTTGATTCGAAGAGTATTCGGTTCACAAGAATGTCCGCTTTGGATGAAATGTCCATATCTGCAATTTAATTCCAATCTTTATTTTTAGTTGATACAATTTAATGATGAAGAAATTGAAGGGTGGAGACGACTCATAATAGGAAGCTTTTTTTTGGTGGTATTTATGTCTTGATTTCCACTTAATGTTATATTTTCTCAAGCCATTTTTATTGGAATATATCAATAAAAAATAGTAGCATATTAACTTCTCATGTCAATATAAAAAATATATTTTTTTATAATTATAATAACAATTTTTATTGCATTCCATCATAAAAATAGGAACATATTTTATGGGTGATTCTAATTACACAAATCTAAATCCAAATGCACCAAGATTAGATTGAAATGATAGATGTCACTTATCAATTTTAACATAGTAAATTGATTTTTTTAATAAAAAAAATATTTATTCAAAATTATTAATGTCATTTTTCATTTTACCTTAAACATCCTTATATTTATATTGATTTTTAAATCAAATCTTTTATTTTCTAAGACTTTAATATATATATATATATATATATATATATATATATATATATATATATATATATATATATATATATATATTTGAACCGACGAAAGTATATTTTATTAAATACTCAAACCCTACCAGCAAGTAGCTAGTGAGGTGAAATTGTTACATTTGTTCAATTACAATTGAACGGGTTTTTTAATCCACAAACTTCATTCTAACTTTTTCCTGTCACCACGATATTTTACCCAATTAAATGTTTGGGACTGTATATTTGAAACAATTCTCGCCGGTTGCCAAATAACTTTGTTGAAAATTGTATTATTTCTGGTCCTCCATAGACACCACAATGCACCAAACAATATCGTGATCAACGTTTTCCTTTTATTGGGGCAATTCCCCCATTTGAAGGCAAAGTCAATCATGTTGCTTACCGAATGGATCCCAGACACCTGAACATTGCACCAGTTGAAGATCGAGTTCAAAGTATCCTTAGCTATAGTACATGAGACCAGGAGATGATCTCCTGTCTCCTCAGATTCACGACACACTCCACACAAAGACGAGTCCATTACAATACCCCTATTCCGGAGGGCTTCAGCTGTAGCTATCTTGTTTTGTTTAGCATGCCAAACGAATCTCAAAACTTTCAATGGGATCATTTTTATCCATGGAAATCTACCGTGGCAAACCAGGAAATCTGCTCTTTCAATCATTTCACGAAGGTGTTACTTTTCAAACCATTGTATTTATACTGATTTTTACATTAAACCTTATACTTTACGACTTTAATTTATATATATATATATATATATATATATATATATATATATATATATATATATATATATATATATATATATATATATATATATATATATATGAGCATTCATAAAGATGTTACTTTTCAAATTTATAGTAAATGCCTTTTATAGTGATTTTTAGATTAAACCTTATACTTTACAACTTTAGTTTATAACAAGTATCGTATGTTTGCTTTTAAGTAAAATCTATATATAGAAAGAAATTGTAACCAAATTTTCATTTTTATGCCTTCTATTTTTGTTAATGTTTCATAATTTATATTTCTTATTTAACAAATTAATTTTTTTCCATTAATATTTAATAATATTCATTATTACTCTTCTTATAAATGTATTAATGAGATCATTTTAATTATACAACTTTTATGAATAAATAATATGTTTCTATTTGTTAATTTTCAAAATTAATAAAGTTTAAGGGTTTAAGATTTAAATTGATAAAATCTAGAGTCTTTTTTAAAACTACAACGTAAACTGAGGATAGAAAATTGTAATATTACATTTTATCGATAGAATGATTGGCACACGTATTAATACAATAATTGAGATAGAATAATTGATTATATTAATATATATATATATATATATATATATATATATATATATATATATATATATATATATATATATATATATATATATATAATGTTATTTTAACTTTCAAATGTTGTCCTCATACTTTTATTTGTCTTTCAAAATTTACCTTTTGTTTTTCAAAATTTTGTTTTAAACCTTTTACTTAATATGTTCCAATTATGTTTTCAAATTTTGTCCTCATATTTTTATTTATCTTTCAAAATTTATCTTTTTAAGGAATTGCATAAAAGCACAACCAAGTTAAATTTTTTCCTCATACTTGTGTTTTACAAGGAAACCGAGTCAATAATCCTATATATTTAATTATTTATAAACAATTTAGATACGGAAAAATTCCATAGCAAAAACATGAAATTTCATAGCTAAAGCCAAATAACTATGGAATTTGCTACATAAATTTTCAATTAGACTCTGTAGTTTTATTTCTTGTAGCAAACTGTTTAGCTACGAAATTATAATTTCATAGCAATTTTGCTATGATAGTTTATAGGGCATATATTCGTTACAATTTGAGTTCCATAGCAAGTTCCATAACGAACTAGTTACAACAACAACAACAACAACAATAATAATAATAATAATAATAATAATAATAATAATAATAATAATAATAATAATAATAATAATAATAATAAAGGTTAAGTACAAATACCTCATAATATGTGTCACTCATCCATTCTACCTAACTTATCATTTAATAAAATCTATATTTATAACAAATATCGTATGTTTTCTTTTAAGAAAAGTTACTTTCAACAAGTCGCTTTCAGTTTACCATATAAGAAATACCAATCCTATATATATATATATATATATATATATATATAAAGAAATTGTAAACAAATTTTAATTTTTATCCCTTCTATTTTTGTTAGTGTTTCATAGTTTATATTTTTTATTTAACAAATTAATTTTTTTCTATTTATATTTAATAATATTCATTATTACTCTTCTTGTAAATGTATTCATGAGATCATTTTAATTATACAACTTTTATGAATAAATAATATGTTTCTATTGTTAGTTTTCAAAATTAATAAAGTTTTAAGGGTTTAAGATTTAAATTGATGAAATCTAGGGTCTGTTATAAAACTACAACATAAATCGAATGTATAAAATTGTAATATTACATTTTATCGATAAAATGATTGGCACACATATTAATACATTTTATCGGCACACGTATTAATACGATAATTGAAATTTTAATAAAGTTATAAATTGGTCGACCAATATGAATTTTGAAAATAATAAAATATATTATTTTCATTAAATATCCTTACATTTATATTTGATTTTCAAATCAAACCTTATATCCGCCGCCTCGGCCGGGGTTATAACAGTTGTAGGGCTTAAAAATAATTGACAAGTTACTAATACATTATAATAGAAACTTATCAACATTTGACTATAATAATAGTTCATAAATCAGTTCTTACTCGGCAGGTTACTAAAAATAATTATTATAAGTTGTGGTGGTTTATTGTTATAAGTTGTAGAGCGTAAAAATAATTAACAATTTACTAAAAATAATTGATAACTTGTGGTGTTTTATTGTTATAAGTAGTAGGGCGTAAAAATCATTGGCAAGTTATAAGCGAGTTATGACATATTTTAAGACGTGACATAAGATGTTAATTTATTATATATAACAATTGACGTAAGGTGGTTAAATAGATGTTTCTAGAAACGAGTTAAAATTTTTTAAATTAATCGGTCTTTAAAATTATAAATTTAAAATGATAAAATATATCATAGTAAAAAATATACTTTATGGAAAATGGATTTAAATTCATAATAAAATACCAAACGTTAATATATATATATATATATATATATATATATATATATATATATATATATATATATATATATATATATATATGTTTTTATGATAGGTCTTAATGATTAAGAACCATGCCTCAATTAATCCTCTAAGTAAGTCTTAGTACAATTGTATGTCTGAGAAGAGGAATCAAGAATTGAAGAAATGGTTAAATCAAGAAGTCAATCATACTTCATTCCAAAACAAGTCTTAGAGTTAAGATTGTGACATTGAGTGACAAGTCTAAAGAAGGTTTGTAACATTCATCAAATGTTGAATTTGGAAAAGTTTTTTTTTATTCTTGCACATTTGGAATTGGAAAGTTGTGATGTCTTGGAGAAAGACCAACTATGACAAATTTTGTGAAGTGTCTTGATAAAAACTACACTAACTCTTGAATATTTGTTTGTCGAGAAATGTTTGTTGACAAGAGAATCTTATATGTCAAGGAGTTAGTGGGAGTCTTAATGGTCTTGAAAAGTTTCAAGAACTAATCAAGAATAAACTTTATCAATCATCACTAGCACACGACTTGAGGTTTACAACCTATCGTGTTGACACTATCTTGTTTCTGTGCGATTCCAGTTGAGTTAAGTATGCATGTGAGTTCTATGAGTTCTCATTTGCATGCATAAAAGGCAAGGACCTTGATCAATGAAAAGTACATTGATAAGAAAAGGGTGAGTTGCTTAACTAATTGGAAGACATGTTGGGCACTCGTGTTACCATAAGGCAAGAAATCAAGATTAAGAAAGTTCGGTCCATAAGAGTTTGGATTTGTCACAAACTCTGATTTTGGACAAATTCGCATGGATAGGAACACATACACCATTAACATCTAAGTGTCATAAGATTCCCTCCTTCATGAAGATGACTATGAGGAAATGCTTTCACCAAGAGAGATTTTAAGAAGATAGCGATTGTGAAAATTGTATTCTCAAATTTGATTAGGGTTACGGTATCCCTTTCCATAATTCGAATTGTGGGATTTGGCAATTAGTCTGAATTGTTTAAGACACACATATGAGCTATCTTAGGCAAAGGTGTATAAGATTAAGAAGCTTAGATAAAATATTATCAAAGCATTAAGTATTAGAAATATGAACTTAATAAATTCAATAGGTATTGTTTTCTGGAAGTTAAGCTGTTTTCTAAATACATGTCAAAGCTAGTGGGAGCCTAAGTGTTGTGCTTATATGATAATAATCATCATGATAGTGGGAGCATAAATGTTGTGCTTGTATGATTATTAAGACAAGTATTGCAAATTAGCAATATTAATTATAGAAAACAAGAGTTATACTTTGCAAAGTCGCAAGGGTTGAATAGTTGTTTTGCTATAATTAAGGGAGAGAATATTGTACTTTGTTTCAAAATATAAAGCTTAGATTGAGAAATTTTAATAAATTTAGTCAAAGGATACATAGTGTGTTCTTAAATTTTGATTATGATTACGGTATCCCTCTTCATAGTTCAAATTATGAAAATGTGACACATAAAATATTATGGCAAAAGATTGATAAAGTATCGTATCTTTATGTAAGACATTATGCATTGTATCCCATACGCTTCGAGTAAAGGATCGATTACAGATGCTATAATTTTCCAAATTTCTAGCGCATTTAGAAGGAAAAAGGACAAGAATCGGTTTTGACTAAGATAATTAAACAACTATCAAAGGACGATCCAAAGTTCGCCGAGGATTGGTCACTTGTGAGTAGTTGGAAGTATAGTATTGGATGGACCATATCGACATTATTATGAATAGATAAGATTCTATTAAGAATGAGTTGTCATATGGAAAATATGGAAATGGTTCCATATTAGGAATTAGATATTGAGAGTCTATGTCTAGATTAGAAAATTTTATGCAAAAGGATGTTCAAGGAATGTACTTTGAGTGCGAGACATCACGTCTATGGAATTGTATTGTAACAATCTCAGATAGAGGACTTTGTAATTTCATTGGCAATAGTCATTGTGACTTTTGTACTATGACATTATGAAAGGATCATTGCATAAAATGTTAGAATCTAGCATATTCTATAAGTGGTAAGAATTTGGTATTCTTTCACTTGTGAAAAAGGATTAGGAGTTGTGAAATGAGTATGATTGGAAATGTATTCATTTGATCTATTTCACAAAGTAAGAACCGTAGGTAAACACTATGTTCATGGGACAAGTGTAGTAATGATTCGAGTAAGAAGTTGATTACCCGAAACAAAAAATAATGAGTAATCAATATGGTGATAGATAAAAGGTGTTTTATTTATACTTAAAAGTTTGGGGCCATATGGGATTAGTATTATTCTTGTATTTCACTTTGCATGTTTTGACTTCCTAAATAATTAGATTGATTCAGAACAATCAAATTATTCGAACGGACCACAGTCGTTCATATGTTGGAAGTAGGTATGAATGAAGATTGTCGTGAATTGGTGTGTGGATTGTCTAAAGTGTATTAGACATA